ATAGATAAATAAGAAATCAATCAAGATGAACATTAATTAGAATTCAGTTGACATATTTCATTTCCTTAAACATCTCTTTTCTAAGGTGAACAATGTGGACATCAGCAACGTGCCGCACAGTTTTGCTCGTTCGACACTGGCTCGCCCCTGCACCACCCTGCAGCTGACTGTGCTCCGGGAGCGTCGCTGTGCCTCCCGGGCGCCTCCCTCCTCATCCTCCTCTACTCCAGCTGTGCCCCACGCGCCCTGCTCCACCCCAGAGGGTGCGCCTTCCAGCCCTGCCACGCTAAGAATCACCTTGCACAAGCGGGACTCGACAGAGCAGCTCGGAATCAAGCTGGTGCGGCGGACGGATGAGTCAGGGGTGTTTGTGTTGGACCTGTTGGACGGAGGCCTGGCAGCGAAGGATGGCCGACTGCGGAGTAATGACCGCGTTTTGGCAGTCAACGAGCAGGACCTACGCCACGGCACCCCAGAGCAGGCTGCACAGATTATACAGGTTCATTCATGCTCGATTTCTTTTAAACACAATGACATTTGAATGGAGAAATAAGCGAAATAAATCAGATTTGATTCTTAAACACTGACTCTGATAACTCTGACCCCGTAGGCCAGTGGAGAGCGAGTCCACCTGCTTATCGGCCGACCCAGCAAACCAACTCCACCCCCACCGCCAAAATCAAGCTCCACCAGAGACCTCTACTGCCTTGATCACTTCCTGCCTAACCACAGCTCCACCCCAAGTCCTGTGCCCACGCACCTGTCTCGCACCAGCACCCACAGAGTGAGGACGGGACTTATATTTATGTGTGTGTGTGTTGGTAGAAATTGGTTGGATTGTGTGTTTATTTTCTGCAGAGATGTTGAGTGTCATGCACAAAGAGGAAGCAGATTCCTCTATATTTGACTCTGAGTTGACACATTCTCTATCGCATCAAGGCTCATTAGTGCGTGTGTCACCTCTATGTGTTTACATTCCCAGGACCTCTCCCAGTGTGTGACCTGTAAGGAGAAACACATCACTGTGAAGAAGGAACCTCTGGAGTCTCTGGGCATGACTGTCGCAGGGGGGAGGGGCAGTAAGAGCGGGGAGCTGCCGATCTTTGTGACCAGCGTCCAACCACACGGCTGCTTGTCGAGGGATGGACGGATCAAACGAGGTGAGCTCTTCAGCTCGGTCAGATACTACTGTGCAAAGCCACATTACTTACCACACAGTTCATCGATAACAGCGAGTGGCTCCTTGCTCCCACAGGTGACGTCCTGCTCAGTATCAACGGGCAGGACTTAACGTATCTGAGTCACAGCGAGGCAGTGGGCACCTTGAAGGCCAGCGCTGCCTCGCCCTCAGTCCAGCTGCGGGTGCTGGAGGTCAGCATGTTGGAAGAACGTGAACGAGACGAGCTGCTGTCTCACACTCATGACAGTGACTTTGACGCCAACTGGTCCCCGTCGTGGGTCATGTGGCTGGGCCTGCCCAGGTAAACACGCACGAGAGAAAAAATTTAATAATAATAATTAGGATTTACGTAATTGACCAGATGTCAATGTGAACAAAGTCGTTCTGTAAATCCTGACAAATCAACATATTGCCACATTTTATTATTTCTGATTTCTTTGACATACTCTCATTAACTATAGGCCAATGTGGGGTTTTATGCTGGACATTAGGCTGATTAGTTAGTTGTCATTGGTTGTTGCAGCTATTTTCACTTCATTTGATTGAGATTACGACAACTAACTAAAAATTGCGACATCTCAGAGGTTTGTAATTTCTTTATTTTTTAAGTTATTTACAGGTATCAAAAAATATTTAGTTACTTCTGGAAAAATAATTATTTCTATAAATGTCTCAAGACAAATTAAGTAAAATCATTGAACATTTTCCGTCACTTGTTTTTCCACTTTCACTCTTTCCTGCAGCTACCTGCACAGTAGTCATGAGATCGTCCTGCGGAGGAGTCATCCTGGCAGCTGGGGCTTCAGCATTGTTGGTGGTTATGAGGAGACTCACGGCAACCAGGCGTTCTTTATCAAGACCATAGTCCTCGGCACGCCGGCGTACTACGACGGGCGCCTCAAGTGAGCGATCAGTCGTCTTTCACATGATTGTCTGTGGCTTTATGTCAGCAGTGATAATGCCAGGCGGATAAACTGTGATCTCCAGTTGGTGACTGATAAGAGAAATGATCGACCAAAGTTTTTACTGTACTCTGTTTTTCTCCCCTCTTCCCTTTTCATACCAAACATCACAGACGTGGCCTTTGCTGTTATCAGCATCTTATCTATCGTCAAACTGCAGGCAACTACCAATAAATCAATATTCATTCTGTTTGATCACATCTGACTTAATCATGTCAGTACAGCCTCATGTCATCTGTACCAGGATCGCATTGTTGTCCTAATATGATACAAATAAAAGCAAATGCATCACACACAACTATTTTGTTGTTTAATTCAAGAATCATTTATGTAAAATATAATAAACAGCGAAGCGTATCCATTACAATTCCCCAGAGACTAAGGGGATGTCTGCAGGTTCTTTATTTTGTTAGTTTTACAGTATAAAACTCAGATATTCTGTTTACTATCATAGACGACCAAGAAAACCATCAGATAACATTTGAGGTGATGCAGGAACTTAAAGTTAAATGAGTTAATTGATTGGTATGAGATATTTATGTTGCTCTGTGGACTGTAAGTTAATTTGTGGATTAATTGACTAATTGTTTCAGCGCGAGTTGTTTTATTTTTCTCATTGGAAAAGATGAAGTAACTATTTATATAGAATCATCCTTTAACTGTATTTCAAGCCTCTGTCATGTTTCCGTGCTGACTTGTCTCTCTGTGTCGTCCTAGGTGTGGCGATATGATTGTGGCAGTCAATGGCCTTTCGACAGCAGGAATGAGCCACTCTGCGCTGGTGCCCATGCTGAAGGAGCAGCGCAGCCGGGTGGCGCTTACTGTGGTCTCCTGGCCCGGCAGCCTGGTATAGCTGGGCCAGATCATAAGCAGGCTGCGCACCACGCTAATTCCACCCAGAATGTTCTATATTGGGAACGACCTTGGCCAAAGTGAACTGGTACACGCTACTGTATATCGCTCCATACCGGGCTTAATCCAGGACCAAAAGCATCCAGAACTGTAGTAGACCCAGCAGGACTAAGCCTGTCCTGACCAGGTGGGAACTGATCCAGATCGTGCCACGTCACTCGACAGACTGCACTCACACACACACTGCTGTGTTCATATGGTCATGTTGTCTTCACTCCCACGGGGAGCATGGTACTTCAACTGTTAACAGGCGATCTGTGCTGTATTCATCTCACCAGGCAGTTGTAGAATCCAGGGCTGTATTCAGGTGGATGCATCGTTGCAGGTAGAGATAGAATTAAAGAAAAATGAAATAGGTAGCCTGTGATCCTCTGTCATCGAGGATAATGATCTGTAATCACGTTAATCAAGATGTTCTGCAACACCAGCGCTGTATCCAGCTGAATAAGCCTCAGGCCTTATTAGAAAACCTGCCTCACCCTGGGGGGGGGCTCAACTACCCTTAGGCCTCATCACCATGGCAACCAGCTGCCCCATCAGCTGGAGTTTTATACATGTGTGAATGTGAGTTTGTTAATAAACATTTCCTTTAAAGGATTTATTGTTGCTCTTCCATCGGTGTGAATCGACCATTAGAAGGCAGATGTGTGGTTTACAAGAGCAGGAGGGTGTTAATGGAAACGTACACTCAGTTACTCAGAGACAGCAATAGGAAGTGTGTCAGTATAGTGCTGTATTAACGAGGCTTTATTTTTATATTTGCATAAATAAAGTAATCAACTGAAATTTGTTGCAACATTAACAAACACATCCAAGTGGATATTTATAATAATAATGCAGCCTCAGGATTTGTTATCCCCTAAAGTTGTGTTCTTCAGCTTTGCAGCAAGCTTGTTGGCATCTGCCTGATTGGCTGCAGCTGCCGGTGTGACCTGCTGGTTCTTTTTAGGATGCAGTTTCTGTATGGGGAGGGTGAAAAAAGGAAAAACACTAAATACAAGGACAAGATGGGGGAGAAAAGTCTAATTTCCTTTAAAAA